TATATATATATATATATATATATATATATATATATATATATATATATATATATATATATATATAGCTGCTGCTGTTGCTGCTGCTGCTCCTGCTGCTGCCGCTGTAGCAGGGTACCTCGATATGTGTGTATGTGTCTCCTTGTCTGCGTGTGTCTGCATCTGTTTCTATTCCTTTTGCTGTTATCCATATCTGCTGCTGCTGCTGCTGCTGCTGCTGCTGCTGCTGCTGCTGCTGCAGGTGCTGCCGCTGCCTCTGCCCCTGTGCAGCAGCAGCTCGGGCCCCCGTTGCTTCTGGGGGAGCGCGAGTGTGGGGCGGAGCACGCAGGTGGAGTGTCTCCGTTTGCTGCTGCTGGCAGCGAGCCACTTTGTGTGTTGCTGTTTCTCTCTTCCTAGCTGTCGCCTCATCGATGCTCTGCGGCTGCTTGTTGCTGCTGCTGTTTGTTGTATTGCTGATAGAGTGCTGCGGCTTGTTGCTGCTGATGCTCCTTCTCCTGTCTCCCTCATATACTCAGGAAAGGAGACAGGTGTAGAGGGCCCCTTTGCTGTCTCCTTAGAGGGGCTGGCGGCGGAGACAACCTTCCTTCTCCTCGCAGACCCAGAAGCAGCAACAGCAAGAACACAAGTCAGATTCAACTGTCTCCTCTTCCTGCTGCTGTCTCCTGCTGCTGCTGCTGCTGCTGCTGCTGCTGCTGTCTCCTGCTGCTGCTCCTGCTGCTGCTGCTGGTGTCTCCTTCGGCTGCTGTCTCCTGCTGCTGCTGTCTCCTGCTGCTGCTGCTGCTGGTGCTGCTGGTGTCTCCTTCGGCTGCTGTCTCCTGCTGCTGCTGTTTCCTGCTGCTGCAGTTGCTGTTGCAGTCTCCTGCTGCTGTCTCCTTTTCGGTGGCAATTCATGTCTCCTTTTCCTGCCTCATCTCTTCTTCTTTGCTGCTGCTGCTGCTGTTGCTGCTGCTGCTGCTGCTGCTGCTGCTGCTGCTGCAGATATTGGATTACTTGGATTCAACAGCAGCAGCAGCAGGCCCTGGCCGTTTGTTGTTTAGTTGGGGTCGAGGGCGTGTGGGGCTGGGTGTAGGAGACAGTCTCTTCCTGGATAGTTTGTCTCTTCGTCTGGCGTTTCCTCGGGGGTCCCCGCATGCTGAGCGTTTGCTTACTGGGCAGCAGCAGCAGCAGCAGCTGCTGCTGCTGCTGCCTGAGCTCCGCTGCTTCAGGGACATATGCTGCTACGCAAAGGCACTCACCAGCGACCCCCCCGCAGACAGACTCCCCCCCCTCAAACGATGGGCCTCCTCTGATGCTCTTCTGCACTGGAGGCAAGATACACACAACATACTGTCTCCTTCTGTCTCCTTTTGTCTCCTTTCTTCTTCTGTCTCCTGTTTTATTCTTCTGTCTCCTTCTGTCTCCTTCTGTCTCCTTTCTTCTTCTGTCTCATTTCTGCTTCTGTCCCCTTTCTTCTTCTGTCTCCTTTTGTCGGTTTCTGTCTCCTTCTGTCTGTTGCTTTACTCCTGTCTCCTTCTGTCTCCTCTTATCTCTTTGTTTCTACGTTTGTCTCCTCGAATTTCTCTCTGTCCCCTTCTGTCTCCTTTGCTTCACTTCTGTCTCCTGCTGTCTCCTTTAATCTGTTTCTGTCTCCTCCTGTCTCCTCATGTCTCCTTTTGTCTCTTTGTGTCTCCGCCTGTCTCCTTTGGGTTCTCCTGGCATCTGCCTGTCTCTTTTTTTTATTAAGCGGTGTTTGTCTCTTCCTTTCCCCTTCTCTGCCTCTATCTTGCAGCAGCTGCTGCAGCAGCTACTGCAGCGGCAGCTGCAACTCGATGCAACAGCAGCAGCAGCAGCAGCAGCAGAGTAGTGATTGGCGTATATGTCTGTGTGCGTGCTGCAGCGCT